GATATCAAGGTACATGAGCTGATAAAAAAAATTGAACTCGAAAGAAAATCTCACTTATTTAGATTGTCAAAATAGGAACTTAACCTCTTGCTGGTAGTTTCAACGATTTGCTATTGTCATGAACATCGCGTTGGCTTTGGCGTCGGCGTTGGTTAACCTTTTTGTTAAGGTTCATTTTCTTGAAAAATACAAACATAGCGTGCCTGTTTATAATCATAAAGGACGCAATTTTTACAAGGCAGATAGACTTTTTTATTTCTGCAAAGTTATGCCCCGTTTTCAACTGAGGTTTTATACTCTGTAAACTTTAAGTTATGACCAATTTTCTCAGACAATAAATAACAGTCTATACAAAGATGCTGTATAAAAATGTCACCGGTATTCCAAAACAGAAAACGTTTGAAATTAAGCAAAACGTAGAATGTACTAACTTTATGCTAACATCATGATCCAAAGCCATTATTACTTTGTAATTTTATCCTTGATAAAATATTTTCCTAAATCGCCATTAATTTTGATAATATGTACGCATGGTCGACAGGCAAAACAAAGGTACGAAAATGAAAATGATGAAAAGTCGAAAGTACGATGACAAAAGGTCGAAATACCTAAACCAGAATGGTGAAAAGCCGAAAACATACCACGATGGAATGACAAACGATTGTGAAAATTCTAAATAACGAAACCAAGATGGTTAAAGATCGAAAACACGATTGTAAATCATGGTGTTGTTAATTCGACTTTTCACAGTGTTTCATTGTTTCCAGTTATGTGTGTCTTGCGATGGACACCGTATTATATACATTAAACTTGAAATGATTTTGACTATCAAGGGAAGTTTAGTCTGCAAAGCATTTGCTCATAATTTCCTCCACCCTTTTATGTTGTTTTTAAAAAATACCTATAACTGAGAAAACAGGAGCGCTCTGTCCGCGGACAGGTCTTGCTTTAAGAAATTAAAACCTACACATTTAAATTACCAAATTTTTGTCATCTTCCGGATTTCTCTTTCATTTCCACAAGTCTGCACATACTACATATAAACTACATTGATCAGACTATAGGCATAATAACGTTATGTAATGTGGTGAGAGCCATTCTGTCTGTATTTCAGTTCTATGATTATTTCTTTCTAGAATGTATTGGTATTAGCAAGTACATTTTTTCAAAGTTTTCGTGTTAAGTGTCCCGCTAATGAATCCATGTCCCTTTTCAAGAATTTGAGTTGAAAGTGATCATTTTATTCGATGAGATGAATAACCATTATATCTGCTTAAATGAATCATTTAGAGATATAAGTCACACAAATATATGTATTTCGTCTAAGTTATATTTTATGAACTTGTAATATTAACGATCAGTAATTTATCACTTTAATTCGTTTAGATTGATATTGTAATAAAAGGTCATCCATTTATTTTTGTTACTAATAGGTGACGTTTAACCCTAATAAAGAATTTAAGAAATCAAAGAAATATTTTACGTCGACACAATCTATTTGTATGTTTAATTTCTATAAAGTAATATACTTTCTGACCCTTTTAAGTTTACATACTGTTTATCTTTAATGTTTGTAATTGTGTTTCACACATTGTTCATATAATCATATTAAGCCTTTCAGATAGAGATATAATGTTTGTATAAGATAACAAAGAATGTGGTATGATTTCAATGAACCCATAGATAAGTGACCGCGGGTTTGATTAGATTCACAAATCAGAAACTGAAATCCGTTTAGAGCGCTATTATCAATATGCATGATTCCTGGTTTACATTTCCACACAATGTTAGCAGCACCGAGTGTTAAATTGGTGCAATCCTAGATAATTTACCCAATCTAAGTCATAGTTGCAATCATATAAGCGTATCGATATGTAAAATTGGCTTCGTACTTGGTGCTTGATTTGAAATTGATAACATGTATGTCACTTGATCTAAACTTTAGTGCCTGTAGGTTACTTGAATTATAAGTGATGTAAGAAAACTAAGTATTGGCAATGAGATACTTATTATTATTATTACATTTTTTTATTATTATTATCATTATTATTATTACTATAATCATTATTTATGTTGCTGTTGTTTAGATAGATACTTTTTCGTTAAGCGGTCTGATTTTCACTGTCTGCTGTGCTGTGTTGTGTATTAACCTATACTGATGAACCTTATGTATGTAACATTCATTGTAATTTTCGCAACAATACGGGTTAGCCTTTTGTTATCACTGGTAACTTCTATCTTATTTTGTTAACACAGGTACCCTCGGAGCAAAGTATCAATTAGACACAGTATATACATTTTACTAAAAAAACAAGCATGTCAAGGCGAATTTGTATTTTTATTTTATATATATATATAAAATAATATCGTGCGTATTTCTCTATAATTACACAACCATTTAAGTCATAAAAAGCTTCGTGATTTTAATGGCAATCTTATTAAGACTCTTAAACTTCATATTTTACTCGTAGGTCAATGTTACTATCAATATGGAGTATGATTTACATTTCTAAAATCACAACAAAAGTCATCAATGTTTGAACAAAATATGCATAGTATTTTCATGTAAACATGTCAATTGTAGCAGCTAAGTTGTGATAACTTGACATATTTATTACCTGTTAAAAGTTGCCATTTTATAAGAAACAATGATATAAGGACTGTACAAACTAATTTGTTTTTCTTCCAAGCAAATTTTAAAGAAAATATTAAAGTAAACATTATTAACCAAAATGGCGCTGTTATATTTTTCATAGATAAGAAATCTATGATAAAGGTCTAGCTATTTTACTAAAAAGAATCATTGTTGTCACTGTATTGTCAAAGGTAATTCATTAAATCACATGAAAGAAAAACCGTTAGAATGACGAATAAGTAACATTTATTAAAGACAAAAGTTAACACTTTGAAATATTTACAGATCTATATAAGAACAAAACTAAGTTCTTGGAAGATTATCTGTTTAAGAAGGTAACAGTTTCAGAGAGATATGCCAGTCTGAACTCTTCTTGCTTTTTCCTGTTACTATAAACTTTGCACCGGCCGGGTATGTTCTCTCATGTTCCACGTATCGTGCGTATTTCTCTATATTTCGAGGCTGCCACAAGCAAGTTGCTTTGTTATCAATAGTAAATATGACAGATTGTTCCCCTCCAGGACCGCATGTAGGGAAGGGAATAGCATTTTCCAAATAAGTTGAAGAGGACACAATTGATTGCCACATAAATCTTTTCCCGACAACATACTGATCTGCGTCTGATTGGACCAGAACCATCTTTCGGTACGTTTCGCCACTTTCCCGGGGAGCTCTTCCCCCAGTATAGGAAACTCTGTACATGACTGCATAGGGGCCAAGGATGATCATTTCCCAGTGGGCCCTGTATTTTTTTCCCCCCTTTGTCTTCAAAATGAACATCAATATGGTACATGTAATTTGTTTTTGTGTATGTTCATGTGTTCACAAAGAATTCATGAACGTTACTGCCTTTTTGTTCTTGTCTTTTTTTCTTCACAGATGAAAATAAACCGAATCAAAAACTTTATCTTGAACTTTTTTCCCATTTTTTTTTGATGACTGGTTTATATCTTTGAATATGTCCCAAAAAATGGCTATTTTGACTTTTTTTGGATGAATTGGTTTCAGTGGAAAGTGTCTTGTAGGCCCCAAGAAACTGCTAAAGCCCAAGGCCATAATTTTATTGTTGTTTTAGTAAGTTTCAAAATCGGCTTTTTTCTTTGGATTTTTAGGGTTGGTCTGTTTGGGAAAAAATGTTTCTGTTCCATAATTTAAACTTTGTGCTTTTTCCCTCGGCATTTCCACTTTATCCCCACATTTCAGATGTCACTGCTTTGTTTATTTTAAAAATCGCAAGCAGGATTTTTAAAAGAAAGTAGCGTAAAAATTTTTAAATTTTTCCAGTAAAATACTTGATGAAAAATACCCCATCGTCGGTTTTCAGGTATGACATTAAAAAGGCGCTCATTGTTTGGTTTTTCTGGCGATCCAAGTATCTCGAATACTCCTTCCCAGTTTCCGTTTTTTGCTGAAGCGAGCAACCAACGTATTTATTTTTGCAGCGTCTTTGTCAATGCAATTCCCCTCTGCAGCACTATGACAGAATAAAATGAAATATTGAAGTTAAATGATGTTTTTTACCGTCTTCTTTAATCAAGGTTGATAGAATACTATTAAAATGAAAATTGAAATATAGAAATAACACTTTGAAATAAATTTGTGTCAGATAAGTTAGACAGCCTTCTTATGTTGTATTCAGTTAGATTTATAAAATATATCTTAGAAGCACTTTCGAGGTAGGTTTGTTTATTGTATTTAAAACGGATTTGTCATAATAACAAAATTGTTAGTTTTCATTTTTAACAATTTTATCAATATAGAACTCTGTGAATGATACTTTAAGGGGTAGCGGTACGCAGAACTACTAGTAAAAAATCAAGAACGAAATCACGATTTCAGTACTCTAATTAAGTTAAGAAAAAAATTCGTCTCAGCTAATCTTATAAGTGTGGGTTTTGGATCGATTAAAATGACAGGCTATCTTGAATAAAAATAAAAATGCATTTAACGAAAAAACATCATTCATACAACCAGATTAAAAACTTATAAATATTTCTGAATCGATATAAACCTGTACTTGACATTTTCGTTTGTGACAGTTTTGTATATAATGCTTATACATGTACTTACATTCCAGCTACTGCGCTTGCCATTTCAGTCCTTGTTTAAATAAACTTTATGTCCAATATTGCTGTTATATAATTAATCAAAGATTAAATGTGTGGCAAATTACAGCAAATGCCACTACTCCATTAACTTTTTAAGCCGATTTTTAAAAAAGTTTATCTGATTTTGTAATGCGCCTGCGTTAAATGTAAACCAGTTATACACGAAATATATATCACACCGTCATACTGTATTTGCGTGGGCGATTTCCACGAAAATTGGCTATAAATAAATGTTGTATTTGTTCACGTCAGAAATGATTTAAACTTTTAAAATGGCACACAGGCCAAATCTATATGTTTCAAGTAAAATGAATGAACACAAAGACTGGTCAGTGCAAACAAGTAGAGCACGTTATGTTGATGGTATGGTGCTAAGTGGTGTTGGAGATGCACTTGGATTTAAAAATGGTGAATGGGAAATGTGCAATGTCGGAGCGCAGATCCACAGAGAATTACAACTGTTAGGAGGACTAAGTAACATATGTATAGAATATTGGAAAGTAAGCGATGACACTGTTATGCATCTGGCTACAGCTGAAGCTCTGATACAAAACCAATGTTATCAAGATAAAGAAAATCTGTATTCATTATTAGCTCAAGCGTACAAAAATTGCATGTCTGATATGAAAGGGAGGTCGGCTGGGTTAACATGTATTGATATGTGCAGACGACTTGATCCATTCAAAACGCATGGCTATCGCATTCCGTACAATTCGAATGGTGGTGGGTGTGGCGCTGCAATGAGATCGATGTGCATTGGGTTGAGGTATCCAAGACCACGAGATTTGCATGATCTAATAGAGGTTAGCATAGAATCTGCAAGAATGACACATCACCACCCAACTGGATATCTTGGAGCGTTAGCTTCTGCTCTCTTTGCAGCCTATGCTGTACAGAAAAGGAAACCTTGCACATGGGGGATAGGCTTACTGGAAACCACAAGACTTGCCCAAAACTATGTGAAAAATAAAGGTTTATTTGTTGCTGAAAATATGAAAGACTGGGGTTATTTTGAAAACAAGTGGGAACAATTTTTAGATATAAGAAACATACATGATGGAAGACGAGAACCAAGTTATTCGTTAGATTTTGATGACGTGAGAAAGAGAGATCAATTTTATAAAATGATGAGTTATGAAAATATCGGAGGAGCCAGTGGTCATGATGCACCGATGATTGCATACGATGCCTTGCTTGCTTGTAACGGAAACTGGGAGGAGCTATGTAAACTAGCAATGTTCCACGGTGGTGACAGCGACAGCACTGGTGCGATTGCAGGTTTTCTATTTGGGGTTTTGTACGGCATTGAAGGAGTTCCAAAAAGGAACTTTCACCACTTAGAGTATCGTGAAAGATTGGAAAGAGCTGGAGAAGACTTGTACAACATTGTGTTTTGTCCTTGACTGATCAATAATCATAGAATAACAATTTAACTTGTTTTAAGTTCATTTTGTTGAAAATAAATTTCCAATTTTCTGCTGTTAAGTTGAATTGAATTGGTTAAATATGTCAAAAGATTAGCGACTAAACAATTATTTGTATAGAAATATGTTAAATGTAAAATATAAAGGCGGTCTAAAATATTTAAGATTGTCCACTGTTTTTTTTTTTTATAAATCAGAAGAGGTTAAAAAGTTTTCTTTTACCTTTATTGCCTCACCATTCATTTTTGATGGACATAATGCCAGTTTGAATAAACAATTAACTGTTATGTTATTGTTATCGAGTGTATCTTTTGTCCATTCAGTAATGTGTCTATCAAGTTTTTGATAAAAAAATGAGATGCTTTAAAAATTAGCA